TTCCCCGCACTGCATGCTTCCTCCTTCTCGGAAAACCCCTACCGTACTACGTTAGGGTTTAGGTTTTAGGGTTTAGGTTTTAGGGTTTAGGGTTTAGGGTTCGGGGTTTAGCGTTCAGGGTTCGGGGTTTAGGGATTGGGGTTTAGGGTTTATAGGGTTTAGGGTTTAGGGTTCATCTCCGTAATTTGCAGGGTTTCACAGATTTCGAAGATGCCACATTCTACTATACACAGCAACTGCCTTGCAAGGGCCATACATTTCTGCCCGAAACATCTTCGGAAGGAGGTAGAGGACAGGGGCTTCCAGACCAAAAGGTGGGAACAGAGATCTAGCAATCTTACTGGGAGTTAGTAGGGAATGAAGGAATATATGATATAGGGATTATGTAAGGATTGTATTCCCTTACTCCCTACTAACCACCAGTAAGCAATTGACATGTTTGCCACGTGCACAGTTAGCTTCTGCATTGAATCACCTGTCCTGCTGTTTATGTGTCGGGAGGAAACATGCAACTGGATGGACAAACATTTCCGTGATCTGTCAGGAGTTGGTCAAACAAAAGAAGTGACAGAAGATTCCAGTAGCGGATCGTTTTCACAAATGGTAGCTTCCCTAAATAGTGGGACCCCAATATAGACACCCAAATACTATAACAATTCCTATAGGGACCCCTAAGAAGGTACCTCCAATTAGGGGAAACCCCCAAATGAGCTCTGTTCACGCACGCTGGCACCATGTTGCTGGGCAGAAAGGGAGCGTTCCTTCCAGCTTCCTGCCAGGCTTCTCAGAGCCCTTTTCTATTATTACAATTACTATTATCATTGTTATTAGGATACTTACTTATCATTACTATTGTTACTATAACTACTGTTATCATTGGTTTTACTGTTATTTCCGTTATTAGTATTCTTATCACTACGATTCTGTCTACTATCATTACGATTATTGAGTGAACCTGCAGCCTGTGGCAAGTCGTGTACAGCTGACTGGGCTCAGCCGCCTCTGGGTTGGGCCACTTGAAGCCACAGTGTACTGTTGTACAAACTGTACAAATTGTACAAGGCGAAGCAGCTGTACAGTGTCAGTGGATGAGCAAAAATTCCACACCGTCAGTCACCGCGTTTTCTGTTTTGTCGTATTGACTTGGTGGTTTTCAGGAAGCAGGGGCCCCAATATAGACCCCAAAACATTATCATCCCTATTATGAGGCTCCCCAGACGGAGCCTCTAATTTTTTCAGAAACCCCTTATTTCGCTTCGTGGAACAGTTAGGAGCTCAGGAGCGGCGCTCCTATCAATTGGTCCAGACTGATTTGGGGGTTTCCCAAAATCAGGGGTACCGTTTTTGGGGGTACGCTAGCTACGGGGCCTTGCGCGACCATGACCGTTGTGAAGTGGGAGGTTATCAAAAAAATCTCCGCAAAAATGCCAAATGGGGACCTCATAATTCCTTTTGTAAACTGTGCATGACCATGCGATCCATATGCGGGATTCCCCCCCCATGTCAGCAGCTGCCGTGTGTGGTGCAGGCTGGTTCCAGAAGCAGAACGTGAAGCCACCCAACAGGCCAGAAAAGGAATTCCTCAAAATTGGGGGTACCTTTTTAGGGGTCCCTATAATGAGGATTATAGTATCTCGGGGTCTATATTGGGCTCCCCCTGTTTTGCAAAAAGGGGAGGCCCCTAGGACCCCAGGGATATCTCAGGACGATGCCTGGATTATGGGGTGCCTTTTTTAGGCATTACGTGAAATTGCTTTGGTATATACCCCCTTTTTAAACAGATAGAGTATGGCTTCGGGTATATTAGTATAATATCCCCATACACCCATATTCTATCTACTTAAGGGGGACTATACTCCAAAAGCGCCGCTTGCTGCCAACTTTGGGTTTTGTGGTTCCTTTGACAGTGGCATTTGTAGGTGCACCGTTGTGATGAGTTTTTGTCATGTTCCCGAATTGCAAGAGGTCTTGAAGAAGAGGAAAGCGGAGGCGGATCCGTGCAGACATCGACAAGCAGCAACTCGAGTCCTCAAAATGGCAGTTTCCAGAAACAGGGGAAGCTTAATATAGACCCCAATATACTATAAGTAGTTTCCATGTTCATTTCCATCATCCCTATTTAACCCCATAATATATTATATACTATAATGGACTATAATGTACTATACGGGGACCATGAAGTTTGGGAAACCCTCAAATTGCCTTGGCAGGTTGAGCGAGCTTTGTCCCTGCTCCCCTTCAAGATCGAGACTGTTGGCCAGCGGCGGAGGGAGAAAGAGCTGTTGCACTCACTGGCAGTATGCTCAGGCAGAAGTAGTTGCTTATTCGTTAGTAGGGAACGAGGGACTACAATCCCTATGTAATAATCCCTATATACTATAGTCCCTTATTCCCTAAGAACCCCCAGTAAGTAGTTGGCACTGGCGAAGTTGTGCATACATCCAATATCAGATGCTCTGGCAAGGCCCAGGTGGACAAACTGTTGCTAATGTTCGGGCATGCGACGGTCTACATGCCGCAAGGCCTGGGAAGCCATCAAGCCGTTCAAACACTGAAACTGAGGGAATGAGGGGTATAATATGGGGTTACACAGGGATTACAGAAAAGAAAACGGATACTACTATTGAGGGTTTGGGGTTTAGGGTTAGTAGGGAATAGGGGGTATGTACCACCGCTGGCTTCCTGCAGTAGAGTGTACAAATTCGTTTCCAGCAGTGGTGTTCAGCTCGCGCCAACACCTAAACCCTAAAACCTAAATCTTAAACCCAAAACCCTAAACCCTGAGACCCAAATCAACATAGAATTTGGGCTGGGACCATTAGCCTTGCCAGTGTGCTGCAGACTCAGAGCCCATCGTCGCGGAATCCTTGCCCTCCATGGCGCTTCCGAGATAGGACGGTTTAGGATTCAGGGTTCAGGGTTTGATTTCAGGTTTAGGGTTTAGGGCTTGTGGTCTTGGGTAATTATAGGATTAGGGTGTACGAGGATGGCGCGAACTTTTAGATAGATTCTGCCTAGAATGGTATGGGAATTTCTCCACCTCTCTGCGATTCTCGCCCATAGACCCTCATGTCCCTAGGGTCAGGGCGCCCTGTTTCGAGAAACCATGATATGGCTGACCTGTTCCATATGCATTGCGCAAGCAAACGGACGATGTCCAGGACCGGCGTCATATCTGAGCGTGACAGATACCGTGCGATCCTCCATCTTTGTAGCTCCAGGGCCAAAAGTGTGCTGCTTCCTTAGCCCCACCTACTTGGAGGGTCAGGGGGACTTAGTAACTAGGTTGAAAATGGGGATACTTAGGGTTACTATATGGGTTCATAGGGGTTATTAACCTACTTACTAAGTTCCCCTGACCCTCCAAGTACTTTTAGTGCAGCTGATGATGGTGGGATGCTGTGGTTATGTCGGCACAAGACCATATGAGCCATAGCCTAGACTCCTCAAAGGGGGTTACATGGGGGATTATTTCGGGGAGTATTTTTGGGGTTTTTGAAGGGTATACTAGGAGTTTAAACTAGAGTACATGTGAATTGCATGTGGAAAGCAATAACGGCAGAAATACTGTCAGGGCTGTCATGGCTTTCTGCAAGTGTGGTAGGCTTTACTGGGGTAAGTAGGGAATCATGGACTATGATCCAGGTATACTATATTCCCCTTATATCCCCAATGTTACTCTATATAGTCCTTATATAACCCTATACTATGCACCTATATTCCCCTATTCCCTACATTAGCCCCCAGAAAGCAGGATTTTGGCACTGCAACTTTTGCACTTTAGAGCTTTTTGGGGCTCCTCTTTTTCATATTCACGGAGCTAACAGTTAAACTTTTTATGGGGGGATGAAGAGCAACTAAGTGCTTGTCGATGTCGGGACATGGTAGTTTCCATAAACAGGGGGACTCCAACATAGAGCTCAAAATACTATAACTGTCATTATTGGAACCCCGAAAATGGCATCCCTAGATTAGTTTTGGGAAACTCCCGCACGAGCAGGTTGACAGTTTGGTAGACCGGATTCCGGGTTGCTGTGATGGATTTCGGAGTTAGAGATTTGCAGCTATCCTCCCCTCTTTTTCTGCTGGATGCAATCCTCGATGCACGCGCGCGCAACATCCGATCGTGGCTTGCAATTAGCTGCATGTTGACTGACTTGACTCAGGCACTTTGCAACACTCCAGTTCAAATCTAATCCAGAACAGGCATTGTTCTTACTTGCAGTTTGTAAGCCTCGTTTGAAGAAGCGCAATCGCAATCAACTGCTTTGTCAACATCAAGCGCTTGTGAACAGACCCATGAAGCACCGAAATGTAAGACTTCCCCGCACCATGCCATGCCGCATCCAAAGAGCAAGGTTTTCAAGACGCACCAAGCGCGCGAAACTTGCCCATCTGAACCGGCAGGGCCGTGTACCGCCAGCGTCAGATATGAGGCCGCATGCCCTCTGTGTCTTGCACCGCTCGTTAGCGCCGGCTTGTTGCAGCATTTCTCGAAAGTGCACCACAGCAAAGAGCCCTCCGTTGCACGTGATCGGCTGCAAGCCAGCGGCTCGACGATCACAGTACTCGATGCCCGAACTCCAATGGTCGGGGGAAGAAAGCCTTCAGGCCAAAACACATCAATGACTTTCCAGTACTCTCCCTCATATGAGCTTGATGTGGAGTTCAACCTTCCCCGGTGGCTGACTTCAGACAGAGCGTCCAGTGTCCTTCTTCTTGGGTTGGACATGAATTTGGTCAGACACCATCAGCTCAGCCCATTGTCAATGTGGAAGGGCGCCAGTGTCGCACAGCGGTTCCAGTGCATGGACCCCATCGTGTTGGATCCAAAGAGAATGGAGCAGAGGCTGCACGGAGTCCCCGCAAAACCATGCGTGCTGACTGGTGGCAAGGCAAGGATATTGCTGATGATAGTCGAGCAGCCTAAGTATTTCCAACCTCCAGAATGGTCATTGCTAGGCTTGCTGAGTGTAGCGCTGGATCCTTCCCCGCTGAAGCTCACAAGTGCTGTGCAGCACTCCATGCTGCCGTATGAAGGCACCGCGGTTTGTGCCCAAGTCATGTTGGAGGCCAAGAGGGTCCCTGTTACCCCAGCAGCTCTACATCGTGTCCCATTGAACGTTGTCTGTGTTCTGGATGCTTCCGCATCCATGTTGGAGCACCAGGTATCTGTTCAGAATGCCATATCTCACATGTTCGAACGGCTTGTACCACAAGATCATCTGGGAATTGTTGCGTCGGCAGGCGATGGTGCAGGAGTCCTACTCGAAATGTCTCTGATGGATGATGACGGCCGGTGGCAAGCAGCAGAAGCTTTAAAGAGTGTGCACCTGGGAGGTGAGTCCGATATCACACGCGGGCTTGCGCTGGCAATACAGTGTATGGAGATGATGGAGAGCCGAGATCCTTGTGCGGTCTCCGCTATCTTCCTCCTCGCAAGTAGTCAAGATGCCAACCTCCAGGCTCATATGGATTTTTTTTTGGATCGTTGCGCTGCAATACCATGCAGCTTGTACACATTTGCGCTGCCCTCTGAACAAGACATGGATGTTCTTTCGGAGCTTT